TTCTCACTTTTCGACTGTTAGTTCCGGTTCTCATCTTCCTCTGTCTTTTCTTAATCGTAAGCCCGTTCTTACGTTCTTTAGCCCGTTCTTTAATCTTCTAACCTAGACTTTCGCACTCATCTCCAGCTTCCCTATAATGATCCCTTTTCTCTCTGAACTTCAGTCCACCCTGGCCCTCTACAGTTCTACGGCAGCGGGCTCAGAAGACATTCATTATGATATGCTTCGCCATCTCCCTCCATGCGCGTCTCGGTATTTACTAAATCTGTATAACCGTATCTGGGAGTCGCCCTCGGTCCCCGAGGACTAGCTTCAGGTGGTGGTTCTTCTTAGTCGGAAACCAGTCTCTCTAGGGACATCCCCTAAGGACTTCTGCCCCCATTTCCCTCACGCATTGCGTTTGCAAACTCTTTGAGCATATGGTCAATGTCCGTCTGATGTTGTTCCTGGAACACTATCACCACCTCGTCTTTTCTCAATTTGACTTTCGCAAGTGCCGCAGCACAACTTGGTGAACTTGGAGGTCTAATATTCGTACTGCTTTTGCTGTGAAGACCTCTGTTGCTGCTGTCATTTTTGACCTGGAAAAGGCTTACGACACCACCTGGAGATAACATATTCTGTCCCAACTCCGTTCTTTTGGTCTTCGTGGTAATCTCCCTCTCTTTCTACAAAGCTTCCTGTCAAGTCGTTCCTTTAGAGTGAGGCTTGGTATTGCTCTCTTTGCCTCTTTTCGGTAATTCGAAGGTGTACCCCAGGGTAGTGTTCTGAGCACTACTTTTTCCTTGTTGCCCTCAATGGTCTTATTTCCTCCCTTCCCTCTGGCATCTTCTCAGCACTCTATGTTGATGATCTTACCCTTTGTTGTCGGGGTGATGACTCGCATTTCCATCAGCGACGGCTTCAACTTGCGATTGATGCCGTGTCGTCTTGGGCGACCAATCATGGCTTCAAATTCTCTGCAACTAAGACTTGTGCTATGACTTTTACTCGAAAGCAGGTCGTTCTTCGTCCCTCTTGGTCGCTTTATGGTCATCCCCTTGTGTACAAAGATTCCGGTAAGCTTTTAGGGTTAATCTTTGAAACTCGTTTGTCTTGGTCGCCTCATATCTCTTACCTCAGAGTTGAGTGCTCTAAGGCCCTTACCCTTCTTAAGGTTTTGTCCCATACTTCTTGGGGGAGCGAATAGGCGCACTCTCCTCGCTTTACATTCCTCTCTCGTACTGTCTAAACTCGATTACGATTGCCCTGCTTACTCGTCTGCTTCTCCTTCTACTCTTCGTCGACTTGATGCTCTGCACCATACTGGGTTATGCCTCAGCTCTGAAACCTTTCGTTCGACTCCTACCCTCAGTCTATATGTTGAAACCGGCGTCCTGTCACTCCAGGACCGCCGTGATAGCTATTGTCTTCGCTACCTTGCACGGTCTCTACAACACCCTCACTCTCGCCTATGTCGTGCTTTGACCTTTACCCCTCCTGTGGTCCTTGTTCCCCTTCACCACCTCCCTCTTACTGTATGGTTGTCTCGCCTAAAGAATTATCTTTCGGTTAGTGTTACCAATATTTCTCCTCGAGCTGTTCCGTATTTGCCCCCTCGTGGAGGGTCCCCCTTCCTAAATTTTGTAACACCCTGACCCACGTGACTAAAGCTTTTACCTCTCCTACAGTTCTGAAACGCCTTTTCCTTGAGCACCTTTCTTCACACTCGGGCTCCATTTCCGTCTTCACCGATGGGTCTAAATCTGCAGACGGTGTACGCTACTCTATTTTTTTCCTGACCACATCTATATGTGTCGCCTGTCTCCAGAAACTAGCATCTTCACGGCAGAATTGTATTCTATTCTGTATGCTCTTCGTCACCCACTTTCGTGCTGTCAATCCGCCTTTGTTGTTGTAGTTAACAACTACATTGTTATTGTTGTAGCTATGCTGCCGCTAAGGAAGCTATCCGCACTTGTCCTGTCTCCCATAAATATATTCCTTATTCAGACTTTTACCCAGTTATTCATTCCTCCATCCTTGCCCGTTGGCAGTGTCGTTAATCTTCTGTTACTGATAACAAACTGCATGCTCTTAAGTGTGTTCCGATGGCCTTCCTCCTATCACCGTAACCGGCGGTGGGAAACGGCTTAGACAAGGTTGTGTATTGGCTATACACGCTTAACTCACGGTTACTTAATGGAGCGCCGCCCTGCTCCTTATTGCCCCCTCTTATGGTCGTGCATATCCTTGTTGAATGTCCTGACTTCCAGGACGAGCGTGTCTCTTGCTTTCGACTGTACCCCATAGTCACTTGTCCCTCGATAGAATTCTTGGTGAATCAGATACCTTTGATATCGTTCGCCTTATGCGTTCCTGTTCTCATATTGGCATCCTTGGTGATATTTAGCGCCCTCTGATTATTCCGTACACTTGATGGTGATACATAGCCTTCCCAGCTTGGTACCTTGTTTTGATAATTACTTACTCTTCTGTATAGCACCCCCGCCCCCCTCGATGTCATGATTTATCAAAATTCTGGACAAAGAACCGCGGGAGAAGACTCTTCTCTAGTCTTGACCTGTGCTGGTTGGTACTAGTAAATACATCAAGCCTTCAACCCTGGAGCCATGTCGGAGTCCTTAGTGTTAGTTTTGACCCATTCTGGGTAGAGTGGTGGTTTAAACCATGGAATCATACCCCCCTCCCATCTTTCCTGCTTTATTTCTCATCTCCCCATAGACTGTTGGCTACGCATAAGAGAGAGTTGCAATCATTTGCTCGTTACACTTCTCTCTGTAAAGAAAATCAAAATATTAAGTTAATTGGGAAGATTCACGTAAATCATTTTCCTGTCACCTAATCTTAATTAAAAAAAAAGAGAATGTGGTACAGATTAATCCAATCAAAAAGTGTACATATTAAAAAAAAAAAATTTATTATGTAAAAAAAAATGTTAAGGCGCAAAGATGTTTTGCGTTTGTTACCGAGTAAGTAAAGATGTTTACCATGTTAAAGACTCTAAACACAGTTTTGAGGTGAGACTTTACATGTTGCCGTCCATACTGAACACGCACAAGGGAAGGGAGAGAAAGGGAGAAGGAGGGGGGGGGGTGGGAGAGAGGTTCTAGGCCTGTACCATACCGCATCTCTATGCGATTACAACACGAAACACAGTGCACTAACTTCCCGCATCAACTCCAGGGTGGAAGTTTGGCTGTAAAAAAGAAATGGCAAAACAACAAAGTTTTGACATCTGTGTAGACTCAGTGTCTCGCTTATAGAAGTTAAACAATCTTACAACACACCTGTTCAATTTATGGTCCTAATTTTATCCAGGTAAGTGGAGTCGAGGTTCACAGCGCCTGGCTGCATGGTGCGTTGGACAAGTTAACTGATGCAGTGGAAGTGGATCCCCAGAGTACTTTAGAACTCTATAATCACATGCAAAAGGCAGTGTATTATCACACTAATGCAAAGAATATATGCTTTTAACATTCCTCCGTTGCCCACCTCAATCCTCAACAAGGGGACATAGGTGGAACTTAGTACCCAAATGAATCACAGTGACACTAGAAAGATTTTTTCAGTGTTAGAGTAGTTAACAAATGTAATGCACTAGGAAGTGATGTGGTGGAGGCAGACTCCATACACGGGTTCAAATGTAAACATGATAGAACCCAATAGCTCAGGAACTTATAATCCAATTGACTGCCAGTTGAGAGGTGGGACCAAAGAGCCGATGCTCAGACCCTGTAAGAACAATTAAGTGTGTACACAGTTGTACACCACAACCCACCCGACAAATCCACCCACCTGCGGGCACCGCAACCCACCCACCTGCGGGCACCGCAACCCACCCACCTGCGGGCACCGCAACCCACCCACCTGCGGGCACCGCAACCCACCCACCTGCGGGCACCGCAACCCACCCACCTGCGGGCACCGCAACCCACCCACCTGCGGGCACCGCAACCCACCCACCTGCGGGCACCGCAACCCACCCACCTGCGGGCACCGCAACCCACCCACCTGCGGGCACCGCAACCCACCCACCTGCGGGCACCGCAACCCACCCACCTGCGGGCACCGCAACCCACCCACCTGCGGGCACCGCAACCCACCCACCTGCGGGCACCGCAACCCACCCACCTGCGGGCACCGCCACCCACCATAAAGAGAACATGGGAAGTGTACGTAAAGAACGTGTAACAAGAAATGCAGAGAACATAAAAGAACATCTAGGAACATGGAGAAGTTGGGGCATAAACACTCGTTTATACTCCAGACGTTTATTTAGAGTGTTGCTAAAATACGGTGAGAAGATTATCCGTAACGGCTAATTTTGCAAGGAACATTGTTCCATGCGACTTCGTCTCGTGGAACAGATAGAATCAGAACATTATAAAGACAGATGTGGAATGGGGGAAAAAATGCAAGTAATACAGTAAATAACTTGGAAATTAAGTGAAAAGGGGTGGGAGGAAGTGATGCGTGGGGTGTAGGGGGTGAGGGAGGGGGGGGGAAGATAATGGCGCGGGGAGCTAGGGGGGGGTGAGTGAGGGGGGGATTGTTAGCTGCTGGTTACAGCTACAACCTCCTAATGGTACTAAATTTTCAGTACAATTTTCCGTGTTGGTTAGTTTGTCGGTGCAATTTTCATTAGTGAGCAGATAAACTCCCTTTATTTCCTCGTTGTGAGCGAGTAATGAGAGAGGTAGTCCGTCACGCTTGTGAGTAATGTATTAATAAAACACTGCTAACACGTGTCTCTGAATGTATTAGTAAAACAAACACTAACACTGATTAGTAGAAATGTAGATGTTTATCTCTCAGAATGTTTGGTAATATGTTTATTGTTTGTGATGTGTGTCTATGTATGTATTAACACGATGTACTGAACGGGGTGAGAATAGCTTGAGCTACCTCATCCCTTTGTGTGTATTTTACCTCAATAAACTTATTTCAACTTCAATTTCAATTTCAACACTGATTAAAGCTAGTTCTTTCTAACTTACCTTCCTTCTCTCTCTCTGCCTGGCTTATTTCTTCTATTATTTCGCTTATCTTCTGTTGTAAATTTCGGTGTTGTGGTTGTTGAGGAGGTTGTTGTTGTGGGGCAGGTGTGGCGGGGGGGAGCAGGGCACAGCTGGCCGTCGCCACCAGCAACAGGGCCCCCACCACGTTCTTCAGCACCTGGGATGCAAGAATTAGTTACGAAATTACTTTTGCCCAACTACTTGGGTTGGATGGTAGAGCAACGGTCTCGCGTCATGTAGGTCGGCGTTCAATTCCCCGATCATCCAAGTGGTTAGGCACCATTCATTTCCCCCGTCCCATCCCATATCCTTATCCTGACCCCTTCCTAGTGTTATATAGGCGTAATGGCTTGGCGCTTCTCCTGATAATTCCCTTACATTCCCTTCAGTGAAACACTTTTCCGTCACGCTGGGTCAGGCCAGGCCCACCTCTGTCACGCTGGGTCAGGCCAGGCCCACCTCTGTCACGCTGGGTCAGGCCAGGCCCACCTCTGTCACGCTGGGTCAGGCCAGGCCCACCTCTGTCACGCTGGGTCAGGCCAGGCCCACCTCTGTCACGCTGGGTCAGGCCAGGCCCACCTCTGTCACGCTGGGTCAGGCCAGGCCCACCTCTGTCACGCTGGGTCAGGCCAGGCCCACCTCTGTCACGCTGGGTCAGGCCAGGCCCACCTCTGTCACGCTGGGTCAGGCCAGGCCCACCTCTGTCACGCTGGGTCAGGCCAGGCAGGTCTTACCTTCATGGAGAGTGTCCTGGGGGAGGTGTACACTTCACTAAGGCAGGTCTTACCTTCATGGGGAGAGTCCTGGGGGAAGTGTACACTTCACTAAGGCAGGTCTTACCTTCATGGGGAGAGTCCTGGGGGAGGTGTACACTTCACTAAGGCAGGTCTTACCTTCATGGGGAGAGTCCTGGGGGAGGTGTACACTTCACTAAGGCAGGTCTTACCTTCATGGGGAGAGTCCTGGGGGAGGTGTACACTTCACTAAGGCAGGTCTTACCTTCATGGGGAAGAGTCCTGGGGGAGGTGTACACTTCACTAAGGCAGGAGTTGGTCTGACGGAGGCGCTACTCAGGTCGGCCTTATATGCTCCAGGTTACACACTGCTCTTCTTAGCTCCCGCCTCCAGCTGTGTATAGAAACCTGTGTGTGTGTGTGTGTGTGTGTGTGTGTGTGTGTGTGTGTGGATCGAGCATTAGTTCTTGGAACCCGCCTTGTTAGACGTCGGTTATTTAAAGCAATCGCTCATGTCCTATTTCCCAACCATATCTACTTTTAAAACGATGAATAGAGTTTGCTTCAACAACCTGCTCCTTTAGCTTATTCGATTTTCCCGCTACTCTTACGCTAAATGAAAACTTTCTAAGATCTCTGACTCGTCGGAGTCTCAAGCTTCCGCCTATGCTCCCTTGTACTAATGGCATTGAATGTGAATCTTTTCCTCTATTTCCGCTCTGTCAATACCTCTAAGTATTTTGTACGTCTCCATCATGTCTCTTCACTCTCTCTTTCTCTCGTGTTTTCTAGCGTCGTCAGGTTCAGTTCTTTCAGTAGTTCTTCATACCTCATCCATCGCATTTCTGAGATGAGCCTCATCGCAAACTTTTGAACCTTTTCCAGTATCTTTGTTTCTTCAGGTGGGGGCTCCATGATTGTGCGGCATACCCTAAGGCTGGTCTCATGTAGGCAGTGTAAAGCGCTCTTAAATGCCTCCTTATTTAGGTTCCTGAAAGACGTTCAAAGTTTTGCTAGTGTAGAGTACTGTGCTGTCATTATCCTATTTACACGCAGCCCGTCCTCCTAAGATTTCCCAATGTTAAGAAACTATCGTACTAAGGTGCCCTCTCCTAACTACTAGAAGACCCAAAATAGAAAACATGACAGTATGTCAATTTCGGGAGCCGCTTTCATTTTCTAATACAATTTTTGGCCGTAGGTAAATTATACGTTAAAATGCGACGCACTATTAGGGGGATGGGTTATTTTACGAGCCTCCGTTGTAAGGTTTGGTGTTACGTCCACTCCCAGGTCTCTTTCTCCAGTCGTTACAGGGAGGTAGTTCCCCTTCCTTGTGTAATGTCCCTCTGGTCTCCTATAGCGTGGGTGTGTACTCACCTAATTGTGCTTGCGGGGGTTGCGCTTTGGCTCTTTGGTCCCGCCTCTCAACTGTCAATCAACTGGTGTACAGATTCCTGAGCCTACTGGGCTCTATCATATCTACATTTGAAACTGTGTATGGAGTCAGCCTCCACCACATCACTGCCTAATGCATTCCATTTATTAACTACTGACACTGAAAAAATTCTTTCTAACGTCCCTGTGGCTCATCTGGGTACTCAGTTTGTGTGGTGGACTCGCCTAGTTGACCATGGTGTATGTTTGTCGTGTGTGTGTGTGTGTGTGTGTGTGTGTGTGTGTGTGTGTGTGTGTGTGTGTGTGTGTGTGTGTGTGTGTGTGTGTGTGTGTGTGTGTGTGTGTGTACTCACCTAGTTGTACTCACCTAGTTGTGTTTGCGGGGGTTGAGCTCTGGCTCTTTGGTCCCGCCTCTCAACCGTCAATCAACAGGTGTACAGATTCCTGAGCCTATCGGGCTCTGTCATATCTACACTTGAAACTGTGTATGGAGTCAGCCTCCACCACATCACCCCCTAATGCATTCCATTTGTCAACCACTCTGACACTAAAAAAGTTCTTTCTAATATCTTTCTTTCTTTGTGTGTGTGTGTGTGTGTGTGTGTGTGTGTGTGTGTGTGTGTGTGTGTGTGTGTGTGTGTGTGTGTGTGTGTGTGTGTGTGTGGCAATAAGCTTGTGAATTTGCAGCTGGCATCTTGTTATCAGACTGGGGTAAATGTTCGCTATGTAGAGCAGGTGAGGATGCCAGTACTGGAGCAAGTACAGTGCCCAGGGGTCTCATCTTCTAAGGTGTTCATTCAAATTTTGGAATGTATTAATACTAATATAATGATCTATACATACATAGGATACAACAACAGTGAAGGAATCCTGGGGATGGTATGTCCAATGCCTGAAGTCACTAACATGCAGAGCGTTTCGAATATGATGTGGGAAAAAAAATGGTGAACAATATAGAATCTCAATGGGGTAATTTAAAGCTAAACGAGATCATAAATACTGATGAATTGAAGTGGAGAAATATAAATAAAATGAGTTATTACGTGATGAGTGGAACAACAACAAGTGCAACAGATAGTAGTTTTCACAGGATTTTTGCTTTGTTGACTTACTTTTTGAGGTTCGCTTTGTTAAGAAATGAAAGAACCGTCATCCTACTGTGCCATGCAATTATTCCTTTTGTGTGCTTCTTTTATGGTATTACGCCACGATCACATTTGTATTGAAAGTTTTCACGAAGTCTGTGTCTGATACATAGGCATTGTGCTCATCTTGCACGTGATGCAAGCCCCATGTGGTAGTGGGCCAGCAGTTGTGAGAGGCACAAGCGTTGTGTTCAACACCCACGTCAGCCTAGGTTATGCTGACCACCCACGTCAGCCTAGGTTATGCTGACCACCCACGTCAGCCTAGGTTATGCTGACCACCCACGTCAGCCTAGGTTATGCTGACCACCCACGTCAGCCTAGGTTATGCTGACCACCCACGTCACCCTAGGTTATGCTGACCACCCACGTCAGCCTAGGTTATGCTGACCACCCACGTCAGCCTAGGTTATGCTGACCACCCACGTCAGCCTAGGTTATGCTGACCACCCACGTCACCCTGGGTTATGCTGACCACCCACGTCAGCCTAGGTTATGCTGACCACCCACGTCAGCCTAGGTTATGCTGACCACCCACGTCAGCCTAGGTTATGCTGACCACCCACGTCACCCTGGGTTATGCTGACCACCCACGTCACCCTGGGTTATGCTGACCACCCACGTCACCCTGGGTTATGCTGACCACCCACGTCACCCTAGGTTATGCTGACCACCCACGTCACCCTAGGTTATGCTGACCACCCACGTCAACCTAGGTTATGCTGACCACCCACGTCAACCTAGGTTATGCTGACCACCCACGTCAACCTGGGTTATGCTGACCACCCACGTCACCCTGGGTTATGCTGACCACCCACGTCACCCTGGGTTATGCTGACCACCCACGTCACCCTGGGTTATGCTGACCACCCACGTCACCCTGGGTTATGCTGACCACCCACGTCACCCTGGGTTATGCTGACCACCCACGTCACCCTGGGTTATGCTGACCACCCACGTCACCCTGGGTTATGCTGACCACCCACGTCACCCTGGGTTATGCTGACCACCCACGTCACCCTAGGTTATGCTGACCACCCACGTCAGCCTAGGTTATGCTGACCACCCACGTCAGCCTAGGTTATGCTGACCACCCACGTCAGCCTAGGTTATGCTGACCACCCACGTCAGCCTAGGTTATGCTGACCACCCACGTCAGCCTAGGTTATGCTGACCACCCACGTCAGCCTAGGTTATGCTGACCACCCACGTCAGCCTAGGTTATGCTGACCACCCACGTCAGCCTAGGTTATGCTGACCACCCACGTGACCCTAGGTTATGCTGACCACCCACGTCACCCTAGGTTATGCTGACCACCCACGTCACCCTAGGTTATGCTGACCCCGTCAGCAACGCTGCTTCACTATCAGTTACTACTGGAAAGTGAGGTCTAGCTCTTAATGGCCTGCCTTACAGCCTTGAATACCTAGTGCGTTTCTTTTTGTTTTTTACCTAACATTTGTGGATGGAGGTGACTCGAGCCATGACGTCTTCCTATATGCCATTCCGCTTGTGGACCTCAGTACAGGATAAATATTATTTCCTATATTTGTAGATATATTTGCATTTCCAGCTTCCACTTATGACCTTTTGTCTATAGTCTCTCAATTTAAACATGCTGCACTTGTCTACTTTTTCTATTCGTCTTAGTATCTTGTACTGGGCAAAGAAAGAGATGGAGTGGGTCGACAATGACCCAGGGGACACAAGCCTCACAAGACCAGGAGAGGAGGGGGCACCGGGGAAAAACGAGGGCACCACAAGCGAGGGAGAGCACGGCCACAGGCAAGGGCCCACCAAAGGAGAAGGTTCGCCCAAGGCCTACGGGGCCATGGGAAAGAGAGCTCACTAAAGTCCCATGGGACGCTAGAGAACGGAAAAGGCGGGGGCAGGGCACCAAGAGACACCTGGAGGCAACAACGAAGCACAAGAGAAGGCCGGAGGACAAGGGACAGAGGGCACACACACACACCAGGCCTGGGGGAAGGGAATGATGACAGAACACCAGGGCCAAGAAGGAGGAACACCACAGGGAAAGAAGGGAAAACTCCAGGAAACTCCAACATCCAGCAGAACAACCTGTACCTCGGAGGCGGCGAAACAGTAGGAGGGGGAGGCAGGTGCTGCAGAGGTCAAGGGGGATGGCAGCACACGCAGGCGCTGTGTTGCCTCCGACGAAGTCGTCCTCGAGCGTGAGAGGCTACCGAGGGCGGTCCGTGGGAGACAGGCTACAGACCAACACGCGTGACCCGGGGCGACAACGGGGCATGGCGTGGAACATCTTGTATGGCGGGATACCTTGCGTGGGTGCGAGCGGAGGACACCTAGTATGGAAGAGTGAGGGGAAGTAAGATTGATAAAGATTAAGCTACCCCAGAGGTGGGTTCGCAGAAGCTCAAAGCAGTCATAGAACAACAAATGGAAACCATCTCAAGACCGACAACCACTCACATCTTCACAGACGTATCAGTTGATCAAGAAAGAGGTTCTGCCGGGGCAGCGGTTTTACACTAACAACCATGAAGCTTACTGGAGCATGAATAGTGGGTGCTCAACATTGCAAACAGAATTATATGCCCTGAAGGAGGCCATAAACTATACAATTGAGAGTAACTTGCATAATGTTATCATTCATATCGACTCTAAATCTTCGCTCCAGGCATTGTTATCCAGTCAACACAGATAATATACAACTCCTCACAGAAAGTCAACCGCATCCAACAGCCTAGTTGATCAGTCCAGCAACCAGGAGGCCTGGTCGACGACCGGGCCGCGGGGACGCTAAGCCCCGGAAGTACCTCAAGGTAAGGTCAAGGTATAGGAAAAAAAATCACAATCTAAGGCTGTCAGTCGAC